GGTCTCTCGGATCTCGGGTTGTCGCGTCGCATTGGTGTGGGTAGCAGGTTGCTGGGTATTCTAGTCGGTACTACTCTTGAAGGATAAAAAATATCCATTTTCAGCTTCTCCTGAGTGACAAAAGCCTGTTCAAAAATGTTTGCGATGCCCACCCGACTGTTTCAAGCATCTTTTGGGATCTTGGGGCCGTCGTTTCGCCAATTGCGAAACTCGCAAGCCTTCCCTTGTCACCCAGTAGACCAGGATCTTTCACAGGGGATCGATCATCCCTTGTTCTGCCTTCGTTGCAGCCTCATGGAGAAGCATACCTAATTGACTTTATTCTGACCGCCGTTCAGTTAATCCGTGGTTGAATGTCGTCGTTATGTATATATATCAGGTTTTCTCACGGGCTTGGGATGTTGTGTTAATGTCATTACTCGCCCAGTAACACAGTGTTCTTCTTACTGGTCTTCTCCTTGATCTTGATACTCGGCCGATAGCCACCCAGCATCGCACATTGCCATGCACCTTGGTCCATCTTGCCCGCCTGCCATCAGCGATTGGCACTGTCTCAAGTGACCCTCAACACCCGCTTCTATGCAGCAAGATGCACCGCCCCCAATACCCGCCAGCTCATCAGTTTAGGGCGCCAAAAACGCCATGCTCTATGCCCATTGCCCCCAATCAAGACGAGGGAAAGAGTACCTCCCTGTTCTGGTCCTCGAGAAAGGAAAGAAAAATGCTCACACGCCCACATCAGCCAAACAAAATCTCCACAAACTCGTCCATAAAAGTAAAAGCTAAGTGAGCGCTGACAAGTAGTTAGCCCACTGCAACCAGAAGCGGTCAGAACAGCCACTTACTTGAGCCTTGAATTATTAAAGGTTGCAAAAACACGTCGGCTGGCTGCTTGGGCATTGACTCTACCGACCACACTGCCTGCCAGGTCTGGTATAAGTGTTGCTAGCATCAGGCTGGCTTCTGTGCGTGTCTGCTTCTTTTCTGCTGCTGTCCTTGGCAGCTTGTTCTTATTCATTTGTCCGCCGGGCCACATACTGTCTTGGAGCAGGGCAATATACTTAAGAATTGCGTCCTCTTGAACCAGCATTTTGACGTTGTCACGTACTTTGCGTTCTATGGTACCCCCGAGTAGTTGCTGGAGGACCACAACGACTGCCCGACCACGCAACCAGTTGTTGCCTCGATTGAGCTCGAATACCTCCAGGAAAATGTCGCAAATAGGCTTGATAAAAGACTCGAGCTCCTTATTCTCGAAAGCATTCAACTCGGCCTCGGCCTCGGCCGCATTGACGCCATCTTCGTTGACTGGTAGGGGCATTGCGTTCAACTGGTTGGTCGCTGCTGCAATCAGGTTCTGGCCGGCTAGCGAAAGTTGATCCAGGACTGGAATATTGCCAAGAATATCCTCCACACCGTCCGTAACTGAGTCGTAAAATCGCGTTATCATGTCTTTCTTGTCCTCGCGGTCCACCAGATCTTGACCCTGAGCAATCACGCTTTGAGACAAAAACGCTCGTAGATCTCGGCTCCGGCAGACTTCCGGTAGCATCAAGAGTTCGCGAAGATACTGCTCCAACGCAGCCCGTCTTTTGCGCAGAAACTCGCTCTGAAACTTCATGACCATTCGTCGTCTGGGAAAATCGAGGTTGCGAACGGATGGATACCTCGACCGAAGCTTTTGGTGCAGTTCATGGAACTCGCTATATCGGCGAGTGATGATCCATGTCGCTGCTGGCATCTTCTCTCCAGCATCCCGCTGTACCTCGATTACATAAAGAGCGAACTCCCTGCCGTCGTCTTCACGTCCCACCTGAATGGCTTTGATCTTGATCGTGGAGCGGCCGTAGAGGCTGTTGTCGCTTTCCTGTACTACGTACTGCTGTCTCTGCAACTCTTTACGACGAATTTCGCGCTGCAGACTTGCTTTGGACTTCCTTAGAATACGTAATTCGGCTGTGTTGTTCGTGAGTTCGGCCTTCTTCGTGAGAGATTCGACGATGGCATCTTGCGCTACAAGGCGATCGATGTCGTTAGACAGCGCTGTGATAGCTTCCGCCAGGCCCAGGTCTCCGGGCGCGGCTTCGTGAACTTCGTCCTCCACATCCATCTGTTTACCTCCGCCATCGTCATCCTGCTCGTCAGAAAGATACTTGTCCTCATCTCCGAAGAGATCATCGTCAACGAAAACTCCTATTCGAGATGCGGCGCTTACGAGGCCCAAAGATGACAAACTCGGTCTTTCGGCTTCCTTGGACGACTGTGCCGGCCGCGACACGTCGAGTGATCCTCGATGGGAATCATTATCGCCAGAGAAGAGGCTTGAGCCTGCATCTTCAGCCCCAAATAATGACGCCCGGAATTCTTCGGCTGTTTGAGGTCGGTTATCTTCCATGATATTATTTAAAGCTTCTTCCATAGCTTGAACCACAGTGGTATCGGGGACAGGATTGCTGGCTTCCTGGTCCAGACTCTGCACTGAGTCCATCATGTTGTCATGCTCAAAGTCTTCATCGTCAAATAACGGGTTTGGTGAGTCGTCGTCTAGAGAGCGTCGCTGTGCCGTTGCGGGGTCGAGACTGCCGCCATTAACGTTGGAGATCCTCAGATCCGACGCAGATCCGGCTCGCTTCGTCGTCGGACGTGTTAATCTCGGTGCAAGTCTTGCGACCGCATTCGGCTTGGACTGGTATGATTGGGAGCTTCGTTGTATGGGCGGATGGGCCACCGACGAGGACGGCTCAACTGTAGGGACAGCAGTGATAGCTGCAGATGCTTCTTCGGCTGCCAAGCACTTGTAAAAGAGGTCAGACTTCTTGAAAGATTGAAAGAATTGTGCTTGCATCCTCTCCAGGACTGCTGTTTGCGCTCTCAAGATGGCTCGCCGGGCTTTGTAGTACTGCTCTGCAGTAGCCGACTTGCCGGCGTTCAGAAAAGCCCGAACCTCGTCCCGAGTGGACTGTGACACCTTCAATTCAGCCTTGGCCAAGTACGCATGGTCGATTTGCGCCAGGTCTAGGCGATCAGAATCGGTCCACATGGACAGATTCGACGGGAGCTGCTCGTCGTCCTGGCCTTCATCCTCCAACGGGTTGCGGAAGCCATCAACCACCAGCCAGAACTGAACGAGAGGCATCATGCGATGACGATCCATAAACTCCATGAAGTAAGACAACCCTGATGCATCTCGGAGCAGCTCCACCAAAGAGGCGTGCTCAAGTTTTGACACCGCCTTGGTATTGCCTGCGGGGCGAGGAGGTAAGGCGGCAGCGTTTCGTCTATCTCCTCCCGCCGCAAGCACTTGAACGCGCTGGTCCAACAGCCTTTTGCCCATTTCCAGCCGGCGAAGATACACCTGGTCCTGGTTGTCTTCTAAAGAGTCTCGTTTTAGTTGACTAGCCACCTCGCTTCTCAGGCGCCTCGCATCCGAAAGATTATTTACTTTTCTTATGGCGCGGATGAACTTTTCAAACTTTCGTTCACTGTCGGTGGGCGAAAGTCGTGGTATGATTGCGGCTTTGCCCACCCTCGGGGTTGGCGAAGCATGCTGATCCAGCGCAGCTCGAAGCTTGCGGACGGTTGACCGGTCCTGCAACATAGATCGACCATAATTCTCCATGACTTGATTCCATGTATCGGGTTCGGCCAACATCTGGAGCACAGGAAACAGCACAGCGCATGCGACAATTTCTCGAATTATGGTGGAGACGGTGCGACTGGCGAGCATATTAGGCGGGAGGACCTTGGGCAAGATGCCCGAAACCATTTTTCGAAGATAATCTTGCTGAACAAGCTTGGTGTCGGGAAAAGACAACGATGCGGCAGGGTGCAATCTTCCATCCTTGTATTTGGAAGCAATTGCCAAGTCCAACTCCTCTGATTCCGTCACGGATCGGTTGAGCTTCCTCCCCCGAACCGAACGTTCGGCGTCGTAGAAGTCGCGGAAGTGAGCCGTTAGCATTGGGACAACACGAGTGGTGACGATGTCCACCAGATCAAGCTCCAACAATCTCTCTCTGATGTTGATAAGAGCATCGCGGATAGCTTTGTCCACTTGGTTCGCAAAAATGGGGTTTTTGCTGATGTTGGAGTACCACGAGGTGACAAAGTCCCGAACGATAAGACTGAGAAGATGGTCAAGAGCTTCGGATATTCGGGGCGAATCGGGGTCGAGGGAAACTTTTGAGTAGGAAAGGCGTGTATAGAGGTCGGCGACTTCGCGAGACCAGGCTTTCGGCGCAATGAAGGCGGGCCCCTGCGGACGAGGTGATCGATGACGGAAGCTTCGTCTAGAACCTCGGGACGTGAGGGAAATGACTGCTAGAATCGAAGCCACGGTCAGGAGAGCTCCTCCCAAGAGGGCATATCCGATCCATCGCAACGTCGGCGCCCAACTGACTGCGTAGCCCCAGGCAATGAAGCATGTGATGGCGGCAAAGATCAGGTCTCTTCCTTGCAGGGCCATAGTCCAGATTGGTATTGAAAGGCACCGTGTCGTCGCTACATCGTTCGATGTTGATATTTGCGGTGCTCCCGTAGCTGTGTTTGTAGATGATCGAGCGTGGCCTACGCTGAGCCTTATCGATTAGGGGGTGCGGTACGCGGACGTCCAAACCGACACGTGGAGACGATGTCGAGGTGTGGTGAGGCACTAGGTAAGGTTGAAGTACCTTCCAGCCCCTGACCAGCACATCGCTGCAAGATGCCTGCCCGCCTTACGCAATAGAGCCCTAGGTAGCACTGTAATGGAATATGCATGTGGCCGAATGGGTCCGTGCCCAATGAAGCTTTGCGACCATTAACATGAATATGTAATCCGCGAGAGTATACATTAAAGAAATCACTTGCGCAATGCTGATGAAGCATCTGTATCAACCAGAGGTAGAACCTAGTACGACGCTCCTCTTGGGTATCAATGAAAATATGTGGCATTTAGGGCTGTGCCCATTGCGTCCTGCTCAGAATCCGTCGCTCATCCTCATTTTTAACGCCATTACCAATTACCAGGCCGGGTCTTCCTTTCTGCGGAAAAGGGCAACATGCTTCTGGCCTTGATTCCGCGCCACTTTCTTTCCCTCCTCCGTTTCTGACCTCATGACCTTGACGCACTCGTCCGCTTCCTGCTCTTCCTCGGGTATACGCTCGAAAGATGGATGGGCGCCGAAGTGCTCTACCATCCACTGATGCAAGGGCTCGACGTCTGTAATGGTGTACACTATGCCGCCGGGCCGCAACGCAAAAGCATACTCTGAGTTTAGCGTGGTCGAAACGATCCTGGCCTTGTGTTTCCGGGCTTTGAAGTGAGGGTCCGGAAAGCAAATGAAGATCTTGGAAAGCTGTGCCTTCTGGAAGAAATTGGGTAGGAATTTCATGCTGTTGGCCCTGAGGCAGCTGATATTCTGGTAGAGTCCAGTGCCCTCGTTCTGCGCGCGAAGCGCTCTGATCCGCTCCTGTACGTACTCTGTGACCGAGGTTCGAATCTCGAGGCCTCCCAAAGTCAGTAAACCAACAGCTAAAGGCGTGCGTCATCCACATACCAAGAGCCAATGTGTCTGGCAAGAGGGGTGCCAGGGCCACAAGCAACCCGCCAAACCCACAGCCAATGTCAACAACCTCGACGTCCTTCCGCATACGCTTCGTTTGGTTCGTTGAAATGGCCTGCATATCTGTGTCGAGGGATGTCGCCGCAACGGGTTTGAATACCAAGGGGTGGTCTTCTTGGACGGTGAACGCGGGATAGTATTGAGTCCAGTCCATCTCATTCGGACCAGCTGGGCTGACATGCAACATGCAATTAGTATCATTGTCCATGGGCAGCGGACCGTTGTGCGACTCAACTAGACTAATTGATGATCTGAAAAAGGGTTCGCATGAGCTCTTTGCCGGTAGAACTTCTTTTTGGGCAACTCGAGCACGCCTTCTTGGCTGCGCGCATTGCGATAGTCTTCGCGTTTCTGGCTCTTTGGTTTGTGCGTTCCTTTGCCCATTTCGTCGTTTTCGCTCCGCGGTTGGGTATTTGGCAGGTGCTTGGGGGAGAACGTTTGGATGTCGCAAGTCTCTCCGAATTCGGCTTATGCGATTCGTGAAGGGGTTTGGGTCTTTTGAACCGGGTGTCGCAGGAAGGAAATAAGTATAGAGAGAGCGAAGAAAAAGAAGAGGAAAAAAAGCGTCAGGCAGAAAAATAGCGATGCAATTCGTGGTGCAGTGCGATGTCCATGGAGGGGGTTCGTAGGTAGTTGGGTGTCGCAAACGGAAGGCGGTCACATACCCATCCCCTGAAGATAGTATACCTACAACGGATGCGCGCTGAAGGCACTTACCAACCTGGGGAAAGAGGAATGCAGTTATGCCTCCAGTGCCGCACTCGCTGCTGGTCGAGGTAAGGTAAGGTACCTAGGTAATAGAAGGTGCCTTAGCTACCTGGGCTACACTTCATCACGGAGGCGCCGGCTAACCCATGCTCACGCAAGCGCGTTCTCCTCTCCCTTGGGTCTGACGTGACATCTCACATTCCACCATCAACTTCCTTCCACCTCACGCGGCTCTCACCTCATTCTCTGGAGAAGCATTGAACTTGCCAGGCTCGATGGGCACCTCATCAGCTGCCCAATTAATTGTCGTTCGCCCTCACGTTTGTTATCCGCCGTACATGCGTGCCTACATACTCACTTCCACCTGTCTCGTCTGCTTGCCTTCGTTCGTCACCCGCAGCACACGCATCTTGCACGTACCAACCTAAATCATATACCGAAACCCCACCACTTTCTTTCGCCCCTGTCGCAAAAAACGTTGGCTGCTTGATTCCCACCCGACGGGGATGGGTTCTCGGCCGCAGCAAGCCTCGTGGTACGACACGATGATGACTTACTTGCTTCTGGCCCCGGATTACCCTACTGTGGTCAGGTACATATCAGGCGCTTTCGTAAGTCTCACATTGAACATCTGCGTCGTGTCAAACCAAGCCCAGGCAAACTCCAAACTGACGGGATGATAGATTGCGCTGGGCCTGTTTTTTGTGGTTCCCATTATCCTGTTGATTGGATTTGACTTCGTTGTCTGGGTCTACCGAATCTGCTGGAATCGCCCCTGGCAGGAGTCAAGAAATGGTCAACTCAGACCTCCCACAGCTGCTCGACATGCCCCAGAGACAGCCGATGGCCTGACAGATGTGAAGCAGCGCATCAAAACTGCATAATACCGAGAGGCTTGGCGGGCAGACGTCGTTATCATCGTTGTTGTCGTCCTCCAGTCGCGGGCTGACCAACACACAAGTAAATGGAGGCCGTTTGGTTTTCGGAATGCATTAGGGCTCAATTGACGGCTCTTACAGGAGTTGGCGTTTATAAGGGTATGGTTACCATGTCGAGTACAACTGGATATTTGCAACGAAGCAATGATTATATCCATTCCCTGATGACGTGAATTCATTGACTTCGCTTTGGCTTGTCCCCCTCCGTCCTGCATGGTATTGACCATAAGTGGAAACGTACCTGGGTGTCTAGCAACTACGCTAGATGTACTAGCCATCGACGTCACCTACAACCTACCTACCTAGCTAGCTAGCTAGCTACACTGGTGGTGAGTGGTATGTAAGCCGAGCAGGAACCTCAAGGTAGTACCTACCTAAGTTACCTAAGGTACCTAGGTAGAAACCTTAGGTGCCTTAGGTGTGGGCCACTTCAAGCGCCACACCACGCTGAAGGTGCCCAGAGTAGAAGCGCCTGTGGACTCCCGTCTACACGACGACCCCCCGACATCTTTCAAACCCCCCCAAACTTACCGCAGCACTTCATCGTTTGTCCTCGACGGATGCAGGAACACAGAATCGCACCCAACAACTCCCCAGGACTTGTGCAACTGCCTCAGATCTGACTTCCTGCCGGTGAAGAATCATCATGCCCCAAGACCCAAACCTCTATGGGCAACCACCGCCTAAGAAGCGCAAGAATGATATGGCTTTGAGCAGTTCCATGGATTTCACTGCCCAGCTGTCCTCTATCATATCTGGCCCATTCGCCAACGCTCCTACGGTGGCAAGACCTCGCCCGTCGCGGTCCAAAGACAACATCTTTACTGGCGTAAAATCGAGGCGGCAGAACGACAGCCCCAGAAAGGCGGGCTCGTCGTCCAAGGCGGATTCCACGAAGCTGAAGCTGAGAGATCCTCTGCGTACCGGCGAAGAATCCTCAGAACTGGCCCGCACCCGGCGCAAGATGGAAGAGAAGGCGCGCCTGTACACCGCCATGAAACGCGGTGATTACGTGCCCAAAGAAAATGAAGCTGCGCCACTGATCGACTTTGACCGAAAATGGGCAGAAGCCGAGGCAAGAGGGAGAAAGGACGACGATGAAGACGCTCTAAGTTCCGACTCCGATGACGACGACGACAACGATGGTGATGGAGAGAACGCCAACCAGGAAATTGTTGAGTATGAGGACGAATTTGGGCGTTTGCGGCGGGGCACCAAAGTCGAGATAGAACGTCTGGAGCGACAACGCCGCCGCGGCCTTCTCGGTGCTGAGGAGCTCGAGCGCATGTCTGCTCGGCCTGCTGCACCCGCGAAACTTCTACATGGTGACGCTATTCAAACAATGGCATTCAACCCGGAAGACCCCGAGAAGATGGAGGAGCTGGCACGCAAACGTGACAGGAGCGCCACACCCCCCGACTTGAGGCACTACGATGCCGATAGCGAAATTCGAACCAAGGGTACCGGGTTCTATAAGTTTAGCAAGGATGAGGAGACGAGGTCTAAGGAATTCGAGAGTCTTGAAGCAGAGCGACAGAGGACAGAGACAGCGAGGAAAGATCGTGAGGATAAAAAGGAGGCAAGACGGAAGGAAATAGAGCAACGGCGTAGAGACGTCGAGGCGAGGAGAGCCCAGAAACTTGCTGATAGCTTCCTGGACGATTTAGCAACCGATCTCCAAGGCCAATAGATGGCAGTGTAGAAGCGTGCTCGGGTGGGTTTCTCATTAGGATGTCATTATTTGAATTGCGAAATTACGGAACTCTCGTTTGCCGCAGCTTCTGCATTCTTTTCATAGACAACTAGGACTAACAATATTGTTGACCGTGTAAGACAAACCAAACCTGCGTCATCAAGTCTTTCAACAGTGCTAAGCCAGTCTTGAGATTGAAAATTTGCTCCAATATCGTCTTTTTCCACGGAAGGGCCATTGAGGCCTTGTGGGCCCGTTCCTAGGTATTCCGCCAAACACACATATATATACAATCGCCAGCCTGCTGCGCCGGATGAACGAAGCCCACGATGCTCGTCCAGATAGATATCAAACGCCTTGAAAGAAAGCAAATGTAACAACAAGGCCGTTGGGCCAATAAAAGATGGTGTAGTACATTAAGCCGTGCAATAATAATGTTTTGTCATGGCACGTTGTGACAGACGCTGGGCGTTATGTGAACCACCAAATGCAGCCGCAATCACTCAGCTGACTTGTCCTCGTCGGCCGATCCCGTGATATCAACAGGCTGTCTTCGTGGATCCAGCGTTTCGAGTCGGCGATGGCGACTGTCTGCCTGTTCTCCATGATCATCACCTCCACGGGTTGGCCTTCCTCGTTCAAAACGGGGACCGTATTCTCTCCGTCATCACAAACCTCAACCTGTCGGCAAAATGCATTCTTGGTCTCGTCAAGGGATACACGACGCTCTTCGAACTTGATGACCTGCGGGTAAGGCGGAGGCGGAGCTCGTCGTGGCTTGTCGGTGGGAACCGCGGTAGAGAAAGTGCTCGTCGCCAATCCGTGGCGCACCAAGAAAGGTGTTGAATTGGGTGGAATTGTGGCAGCTGCTAGAGGTTTTGTCGTCGACGTTGGCTTCCGTTGATAGCTGTTGTTTTGTGATGGATAGACAAAAACTTCGAGGAGAGTACCAGGCCAAGTGCAGATCCAGGGTCGATCACCGGCCTGAGCTCCCCTCACACCCTTCCTGCTAAAGTCTCCGGACCCAGGAGGAGGGCCATTCCACCGCCTTTTCGCACTTGGCCTAGCTGTGCTGACCCCGGGAAATCTGTCCTCAGGTACGACGACGGTTTTGTTATATGTCATTTGAGCAAACCAGGCGGCACCCCGACCAGGTTCAGAAGTGTCGTTGACCAGCCGCATCTTCAGCGGGTCGATAATGAGAGGCGGTTGAGTGCCCCAAGCGAACATATTGAGCTTTTCGTCGGTGTGGTCGCTATCATTGAATGTAGTAAGTTTTAAGGTGTAATCAGATATGGGTAATTCGTTGGCAATTCGAGAAACGCCCATGACGTAACTAGTAAAAGGGATGTTACAGGTCCAGGCCTGCGACTGTGTCGTATCGTTGAAGCATGTACTCGGTGCCTGGCTAGCAATCAACGGGGGCAAGCCAAATGTACCGATCTCCATTGAAGGCAGGTCAGGTGGAAGAGTTGCCAATGGCTTAATGTCAACCGTGGCAGTTGGGATGACGAGGGGTACAGGCTCGTCATCTTGATGACGGCCTGGCGGTTTCTTATGTTTCGCAAAGAAAGTGCCAATGACTGCACCTAAAATAATGCCCCTGTGACATAAAGTTAGTCAATAAGTTTGCGTCAGGGCCGAATCCCACTTACATCAGCACCAACCCAACGGCCAACAGGCATATCGCCCAATACGGGATGACGCCAAACATCCTTCTCTTAGCCCTCTTCTGCCACTTGCGATCGGTGGCCTTCTCGGCGTAAGCCTCTGCAGCAGTGTTGATTTCGTGTTGGCTTGCAGTGTCTGAAGTCAAAGTCCTTGACGACATGCGCGACGGCAAACGAAGGTCTTCACGAGACTCGAACTCGGGGTTTCTTGTTGCGAGTCCGAGGCCACCAGCGCCGGGAATGACCGCAGGGGGGACAGAGGCTGCCATGACCGTCAACGAGTTTTGTGGTTGTGGTTGTGGTTGTGGTTGTGTTTGCGATTGCGGTTGTGTTTGCTGGCCCGATGTTTGTGGCGAGAGCTGCTGGTGAGGTACATCTTGCTGCTGATGATGATGTTGCGGTTGAGCCTGGGGCAAATCGCCGGGCTGTTTTCTCGCGTATGCCTGCTCTGGATACCTGGTGTATGGAGGGAGCTCTTCGGTATGCCCCAAGGGACCGATCAAGTCGGCAATTTCCTCCCCTTCGGGCCCCATACGTCGCTGATAGTTATCAGAGCGTCCGAACCCAACCGGAATATTGTCGCCCTCACCGGAATCCACCGGCACCGTGTTCTGTGTGTAGAGAGTGTACGGATGGGTCGGGCCACGGGGGCCAGCGTACGACCGTTCTGACATACGGGCGGTGGATGACGTCGCCACGCTGTTTGTTCGCTGGGGGTACATCTGATACGGGTGCGAGGGGCCAGAGGGGCCGTCATAGGGACTCTCGGAGCGCATTATGGGCGAATCGGTGGAAACGCTGGATACGCGTGAAAGTGCGGTGCCGTTCATTTGGCCGGTAGAACCATCATGTCGAAGGGCGAGAGGGTCGTGAGCGCGGGGAGGTTTCGCGATACTCGAGGGTCGGGCAGAAGGTACGGCCCGATGAGTAGCGGCAGAGTCTCGTGACACAACCGCCGAGCCAGTCGAAGGGTTTGTGATCGAGGGAATGGGTGGATGGGACGCAGAAAGATCGGCTGGGCGAAAACCGTCAGATAAGCCCATGGCGGCAGCCAGGTCGTATTCGTCGTCGTCGCCGTCGACGGTGGTTGATTGCCTCGCCGAAATCCTAAGGGAAGCCCTCCTCTCGTTGCCCGCTTTGTCATGAAAAGGATCCATTGTGATGTTGTGCGATGGTCAGGATTCAAATCGACGACGAGCTGCGGCGGTTAAGATGTGGTTGCACCAATTTCACAACATGGGCGTCGGCCGCTGACCCCAGAGGCCCAAGTCCAAACCCAACCTCAACCCGTGGTTCCTCGATAATACCGCTCCGAACCAGTCGTCGCTGAGAAGAGGTGGACAGTTCGAGGATTAAAGCGTCGGGGAGTGGACGACTAAGATTGAAGAAAAAGGTCGTGGGTGAATGTGCAGTACGAAAAGCAGCGTGGTATGGTCTTGGGAGGAGAGAGGAAGGATAGTCAGACAGGCTGGGCGGTAGCGCAGGACAGGTCAGGATAGGATAGGACACAGTCGGAGAGAGAAGCGAAGGCAAAGGACAGGGCGAGGGGGAGAGAGGAGGAGAGGAAGTGCGGGTGCGGAAGGGCACTACTAGACAAGGTTGGACGATTCAGGAACAGTTTGGGTTTGGGGTCCGACACGAAGCATCCAGGCGCATGATTGGTGGGCTCAGGGGAGGGGCCCTTTTTTCTGTGTACCGGGCGGCGGAGGCAGGATACCCAGGGGCCGTATTCAGAAGTACAAACAGCGACGAGTAGCGAATCCGCTAGTGACTTTTCTGCTGGAGACTTTTCTGCTGGAAACGACCGGGGGTGTGAGAGAGACGGCCAGAGAACCAAAGAGCGCGCTGCATGAGGGATGGGGGGGGTGATCCATGGATGATGGATGGACTTGAGAAGAAGGGGAGCCGTGCCGTCTCTGGGTGCATTTGTGCAAGGAGCCCTGGACGAGGCCGAGGACGGGGGGGATGACTAGGAAGGTAGCCTGAGTGGAAAGAAGTCTAGACACACGGAGAGAACGGGGAAAAGATACATGAGAGATGCGCCGTCAGCAGCGGGCGAAGCAAGTACCTATTGCCGAGCGATACCTGTTCCCCCCTTCCCCCCAGCTGGATACGTAGGTAAGGTACCTTGGTAGGCATGGATAGAACACTCGGTACCTACCTAATACAGAAGGCAGGTAGCCAAGCTTCCCAGGCTTGCGCCGGGTGCAAGACCAAGACCAAGACCAAGAACAGCGGCAGGCCGCCTGACTCTGGAAGACGATGCCCTTGCCTCGTCGGTGAAGTGATGATCATCAAGACAGAAAATCTCAAAATAACGACAGCTTGCCTGCGGATCGCGCTACAGAAGACGATGCAGCGGGAGCCAGAAAGCCCCGCTGATGCTCCCTGGAAGTGCAGGCGCCGGCAACAGTGCAGGTGCAGGTGCAGGTGCAGGTGCAGGTCGTTGTGCAGTCGTTCGTTCGTGTGAGAGAACGGTGGGGATATTGCGGCATTGGTGTCTGGAGTCCACAAACGCTAAAATAAGTGAGCCCACTTGGACGGAGAGGACGGGCGAGAAACAAGTGGGTAGGAACTCTCTCGTTTTTCTTGTTCTATCCGTACACTACGAATACCTACTGCGTACTTGGTGACGGTATCTGCAGTTCATGGAGCTGGTTGCCTGGGTGGATGCCATCCAAGGTGCCTCTCTACAAATAATCGCCCAAGTCAAGTACACCATCCAAATGAATCCAAATCAACATGTCGTGACGTCTACTATGTAGAAGAGCATTAATAAGGCGGGAGATCCCCGTGTCGGCGTGAGTCGATCTACACACACACGGCATGCTATGATTGCTGAGCCTATTAATCTCCGATCTTGGGCGACTCTTGTTTCGTTGCGCTGAGAAACAGCCACAGCCCGACCAGTGCTGACAAAGGAAGGTTCCGAGGTAGCTCATGACACCCGACTCGGCGGAGGAGAAGAAGACTTGCTCGGAATGACGCTGTCACAACGGAAGGTTTCAGAAGTTTGGCAAGCAGTGGGGGCTGCTTCAAGTGCTGCGGGTGTTGTATGTCTGGCCAAAGACGACAATGTCCAAACAGAAACGCGAATGGGAGCAGGGACGACCGCAGATCTCGGTTTTGGGTGCTGGGGCAGACCATGGCGCTAGGGCCCGTACTGGCATAGTGTCGCTTCCTTCGGCACGAGCACTGTGACAGAGCCCAGGTAGGCCCCTGCGCACTACGCAGTCGGCCAAGACCGCATCTCAGGCAAATCCTACGACTCTCTAAGAGATGGACCGAAACTCAGAAGCTGGTGGGGCCCGGAGACAGATGCGGTCTGGCGTGTCGTTGTCAGCCCGCTGCAAATGGTCCAGAAAAGCAGGTGGTGACGGGACCGGGACTGCTCACTGCTTGAGAAAGTGGAAGCAGATCCGCTGAATGGCGACTCAATCTTGGTAACACAATATGGATGCCCGCGATAAAAGATGCGCTGTCACGTACTTTAAGGTTACTGTCCCTCACTGGCTCGCTAGGAAAGGAACCCTGCTTCTCAAATCGCATCGCTAACGAAGCTTTCCACGTTGCGGACATATACAACTAAGGTATGTACTATTAAGGTCTGCTCAATTACTAGCAAGCAGGATTCAACCAGTCGGGTCCTCGAAAGAGTTGGACTCAGTCGGCGGGATCCACCGAATGTCATCGGGTATATCATACTTAGCCGTCTGGTACTGATAAAGCGTCTGCCTGCATGCAAAGACTATGTATGTACTGTTGAGGTTCAGCAAACACATAGACACCTATCCCGGCAAGAATCCCATCTAATCACAATTGTCCCCCGTTACCATCGCCAGCCGCACTACCATGTACACCTATTTCACTTCTGACTCTGCACCTTCAGGCACGGTATAGCGCATCTCATGTTTTAATTCGTTTTAAGCCTCCCCATTCATTGCCCATCCAATTGAATGCGCAATTTACAAAAGCTCTTGTTACCCCGTCTCGCGTTTTGCTTGCATTCGCCTGCTTGCTAGCAGGCGGTCCAGCCAGATAAATGACCTGGTGCTATTTTGCTCAAACCTGACCATGGCACCTCGGGGATCAACATCGCCGTGGCCTCATTCGCCCGGGAGCCAACATCGGTCAACTTGTGGTGGCTTTGCTGGGGCGGAAGTCCGAACCAAGGCTTGTCAGCGCATATTGCTTATGGTCTTTTTCGTATGGCTGTCGGATCCCGCACGTAGCTGTCTAGGTGCACGTTCGCAGGCAGGATGTGTACTGCGACTGGCTGCCGTCGACGCTGGCGCAGCCCTGTTTTCGTCTAGTGATCCCCCCGTCTCGACCAACCTACAGCTGCACGTCTAGATGCATCCTGTCTGGCTCACCGAGCGCCAGTGACGAATGGTTTTGGCCTGCTACCGCTCATGCGCTCGCAGCCTCATGTTCACTCCGAATGCTCTGCTTTGTAGTCTATCGGTAGTTGAGTCTGGACATTGGAGGCTAGAAAGTCACAACAGCCGCAGGCTGCGACTCGGCTGCGCATATAACTTCGATACGCATTGTGTACTACCTCATGCCCGTTTCCCCTGATTTTCCGAGGGCGTAGGAAGCAACAGAGTGATGATAAGAGCAGGTAGATCATGTCCTGGCCCCTCTAATATATATACATATATATATATATATATATGTCTCTGTGCGACGCCTTCGGCCTCGATCCGTACCTGGACAACTAACTATGGGTCGACACTCGTGCGACTTGAGCGTGGGTAGCCGCTTCCTGAGACCTTGATCGGTGTTTCCCAGGTATTCTGCCATTTCACATGGTAGGTAACTCGTGTGCACTTTAAGTTATCTCAAAAGCTTCTGTTGAAACAGCTTTACTGGTCAAACATGTGCAGGGCTGCCGTGGAAGTAGGGCGAAATGGCTGCCTTTTCACGGGAGGGTGTTGTACCCCGCGCATGGGACACACACAGCAGCCTAGTCCCTCGAGTCTTGGGTATATCACTGGTTCGATCTTGAATACATCTCTCGTCGCCGTGATATGATGAGGTACAAATCACCTCGAGTCCCCTTGCTTTTGCACTTGCATCACGCACTTCAGCACATGTGGGCCGTTGCCCCCCTCGGAGCCATGCACCAAGATGAGGCGAGCAGCATCGACCAGCAGTAGACTTGCTCACGGCCACGCTCGTCCCCTCTGTCTGCAGCAAAAATGCAACGGGTATTTGATGAGGTCTCTTCCCGGGGTTCCGCTGCTTGTTGCTTGCTTCGTCTCTTGCTCGGTGCTCAGCAAACTCAGCCTGTCTTAGTAAGGGTTTTGCCCATACGGTGCCTCCGGTGCCTTGTCTTCTCGCATCACAACCTACCTGCCGGCGCACCTTCGTCCCATCCCTCTCTTGCAGAGGTTTCTCTCTGCTGCTCTTGCACCCGCTCCCGCTCCCGCTCTCCCTTCTACGTGTGATTCTGCTCCTCCTCTTGCTCTTGGTCTTGCCCCCAAAAGTAAAAGTTGGTGCTGGGACGAAAATTCCCAAAGCTCGCCATGCAGGCAGCCATGCCCCACTCATCGGCTTCGAGCTCGTCGGGAAGCTCTCGGTCATCCTCAAGATCATCTTCGGCCTCATCCTTGCGCTCGGGGAGTTCCAAGAAGTCGAGATCTTCCCAGGTCTCTCACTCCAACATTAAGAGTGACCACTGGGCTGTATCCTTCATGAAATGGACCACCGGCGCTCCGCTCGGGAAGCCTCTATCGCTACGAAGAACCAAGGTCCACGAGATTGACGAGACTTGGGGCTTGTACCAGGACGATGCTTCAATGTACAGCGATTGCTCTTACACCCATTATGCGTGGGTAACCCCAAGATTCGACGACAGCATTTCCGAAATAGCGTCCAGGACAAGTAGTCGCTCGTCTGGCCGTCTTCGGAGGAAACACCGCTCCAGAGCCCCGCCTCGCTTCGGACCGTCTCCCGCCATGCACCCGCCACCTCTCTTCGCGCAACACCCACATCCACCGGGACCGCCTCCTCCACCGTTCATGTCGCCCCAGCACACATTTCACGATAACCATGGCTACGAAGGCGAAGACGACGACGACGACGAGGATGTCGAGAGCGGTTACGAAGATTACGGCACAGAACCGCAATTCCACCCACATCCTCACCCTCCTTTCCCGCCAGCGTCCGCACACCCGCCAGCCCCGGGTGGCGAAGCTCCCTTCATCGTTCTGAACGGCGGTGGCGGCGGCGCTCACAAATACACGCCTTGGTGATTGAAACATTCCGGATTGTAACATTTCGAAACATTGCTTCGAATGAGTGAACAATGGCTAGTTGCGCTCCAGGCGGTCTGCTCTTGTGACGAATTGTTAGGTCTCGGCGTACAAAGAGAGACACACCTATAACTTTGACCCCCTTCAAGTACCCAGAACACAGGAGGGAAGAACAGAACCTTCAAGGAGGGGGTACGGCCAAACAACTTACAATATGTAATTGCAGTAACGAGATTATGATAGTCTGTGAGCAAAGAATGTGTTTGTATAGCTGCTAATATGATGATGAATTGCTGCTTGAGACCATTGCATCCAAGCCTGGTGCTGTGTGAAGTGGCCGTACGTTAACGTTGTAGGACACAGCTTGAGCCAATAGAAGAACAGGTGGATGTGCGTCATTCGGAGAGCCCGCTGCACAGAACGTTGCATGGCGCATGGCGTGGCTAGGCGCAGAGTCCTCAGCCACAAATTGGTTGGCCTCGGCGGCGCTCCATCGGGCGGACCATTTCCAGGCAACCATCGCACCGTCAACCCCAGAGTGGAGAGTATGACCTTGGACTTGAATGGACTCAGCCTCTAACGGCTTTACCGGGCGTTGGTCTTCTCATTCGTTGGTTTCGCGAGTATTCTTTTGCCGATACGTCAGATGCCATTCATCCCACATGATGATATGCAGTCATCCTTTCCAATGTTGGTGGTCACTTCCTGGGGCTTGCAGTCAGATAAGGTGCAGCTCCTCTTCTTACTCCTTCGACTAATCCAAACATGGTCCATATATTCCACCAGCGGATAACTAGTCTCTTCGGACAGGCAGTCGTGAAGCATAAACTGGCGAAGGCACCGGCCAGCTCGCTGCGGCTGCTTAGCTTCTCCTTGCCCTCACAGAATATCTCCACAAGGTTTCTGTTGCGTCCTCTGGCTGCGGCCCACCGCCCCTAGCCCTTCCGGAGTGACTCGAGTAGATGGATCATGCCTGGCGGCCTCACCGTCTAGGCGATGTCATTGGCTCGTAGGGACCACAGAGGCATACGCCGGCCTTCATGGAGATGTCTCTTTATGACTGGTTGGTTCCGGTCACGAACACAGAATGTAAGGCGGGATGGCTGCCTTCTCTGCGAGATATATACCCCAAGGCAGCCTGACCATATTCACTGGTCTCTTCTCTCTGTGTCACCCACCCTTTCTCTCAAAACCCTCCCTCCGTCCCTACAACTCTTGACTGGCCTTCAAACACACAAGCCGTTCAAAGCAACACAATCATTAGTTTCCAAGAGCCGGCCTTCGAAAAGAATTCGTCAAAGCCCATAGACATCATGGAGATTTTTTCGCAACCCGCCTCCTGCGCGGACCCCTCGAATACATCCGAGTCCATCGCAGCTCAGGCACCTCCTCAAATGGCACTGCTGGACTTCTTTTTCCCCGGGTTCAGCGTCTTTTCGACCGCCTTTCAAAAGTATCTAGGCATCGATCTCAACGTCTACATACCTCTGGTTATCCTCTGCGGTGGAGCAACATTCGCATGGCGCTACTTCAGCGATTACCTTTGGGAGAAGATTGATACCTATCTCATGTCCACAGTCGAGGTTCGCACCGACGATGAAATCTACGTAAGTACGGGTCAAAAATTCAGTCGTGATGGGTGACATACTTCATGACCAAAAAACTGAACTCGGATAGAACATTCTCATGTCTTGGGTCGCCGCCCAACGCTTTGCCAAGAACTCTCGGCGGTTCGTCGTCAACACAAACCTGAACTCGCGGTCCTGGTTCCTTTGGCGCTGGGATGATGATGACGAGGAGGACAACGATTCTGGGGAAGTGTCAAGCGAGCCGGGCCCGAAGAAGAAGCCCCTGGCTTACACACCCAGCTTTGGTAGCCATACCTTTTGGTACCGCGGCCACCTTCTACTCTTCAAGCGCAGCCAGAATCAGCAACAAGCCTCTTACCTGGTCGTTAGCGAGCGCGAAGAAATCAGTGTTTCCTGCTTTGGCCGTAACCCCTGGATTCTCAAGGAGTTGCTCCAGGAGGCTCGAACCGAGTACCTCAAGAAGGATTCTCAAAAAACAATGATCTACCGTGGTAGTACACGTGCCGGCACGACGGAGCCCTCATGGCAGCGGTGCATGGCGCGCACATCTCGACCCTTCTCGACTGTTATTCTCAATGAAAAGACGAAGCAAGAGCTCGTGGAAGACGTCGCCGATTACCTCTCACCCGCAACCCGGAAGTGGTATTCGAACCGTGGAATCCCTTGGCGGCGCGGTTACCTTTTGACCGGCCCCCCTGGAACCGGCAAGTCCTCTTTGTCGCTTGCTCTGGCGGGATTCTTCAAGATGAGGATCTATATAGTCAGTCTGAACTCCATCTCTGCCAACGAGGAAAATCTTGCCACACTCTTCGCAGAGTTGCCACGCCGATGTGTAGTTCTTCTCGAAGACATTGACACTGCTGGTCTCACCCACACGAGGGAGGACTCGACGGCTGAAAATTCAGATGCCAAGGAGGGTTCTGGTGACATGGTACCTGGACAGACCACCCCAGGCAACGCCACATCAACAACAACGAATTCGAGCAGGCTGTCACTCTCTGGTTTGCTAAACATATTAGATGGCGTGGCTAGTCAAGAGGGCCGTGTACTGATCATGACAACAAATCACGTGGAGAAGCTCGACAAGGCTCTTATTCGACCTGGTCGCGTGGATCTTGTGGTTAAGTTCACACTTGCCGACGAGGAGATCATCGGGTCCATATTCAGAGCCATCTTTGCTCCCCTCGAAGGTGACGAGAACGAAGCCGCCCAGCAGACGCAGAGCCTCAAAGACTCCGAAGGCGAGAAGGCCTTGGCCGAGCAAGAGGCCATGCGTACAGCTGAGATCAAGTTCAAGGTTGACAAATTGTCGAGGGATTTCGCCACAAAGATCCCTGCCCATGAGTTCAGCCCAGCTGAGATTCAGGGGTTCCTTATGAAGCACAAGCGTAGCGCCGAGAACGCGGTTGCTGGCGCTGCAGAATGGGTTGTGGAGACGCGCAAGGAGAAGAAGGAGAAGGAATTAAAAGCCGCTGAGGTGAAGCGGCAGGCCGAAGCCAAGAAGAAGGAGGAAGAGGAGAAGAAGAAAAGAGAGGGAGAGGGAAAAAAGACGGAAGAGTCGGTGGAGGAGAAGGAAGCTGATAAGGTGCGTAGGAAGCAGGCGAGAAAGGACAAACGCAACGTTGGGAAGAACATGAGGAGCAAGCCAAACAAGGAAGATTCCCTCAACTCCTCAGACTCGAGCGATTCGGAGTCCGGTTCCGGCTCCGATGTGGATGCCAGTACCGAGGTTGCGAACACGGCAGCGGCGACGGGAGCGGCCGAGGCGGAAGAACAGGCGACAGAACCGCCGGCCCTGTTGACTGATGGAGCGAAAGCCGAGGGCGGAGGTGACGACACCACCCGAAAGAGAGACTCGGGCTACGGTACTCCAGTGGAGATTTGAATTACATTGCTGGCATTTGGACGAGCTTATTCTGGTATACGAGAGTGCATTGACCGGCGTTTGGGACGGTTGACTTGTAAATGGGGAACTCCGACAGATGACTACGTATCCATGTCACTGCGCTCGTCTTTGTAGATGCGCATCTCAAGCAGCTGCTTTGCGGAAGACCGCACTAGAATACCCTCTATCAAAACCAACTTTTCGAGCTCGATAATATTCACTACAATGCGTCCGTCGCAACGCAGTTCCTGTGGCCGGAAAAAAAAAAAACGCCAGGCATAGTGAACGATGACGCTGGGCTAGGTTGGGTTCGTCAACTTAGTCCAGCGACCGAACTAACTTGGCTGCTGTAATTCTTTCTTGGCTGAGTCAGTAAACCGATTCACATAGACTTACCGGAAGAGATCCCTACGATGGGTGTCTCATTGAGATGCGTGAGCCAGAGCATATGGGAGACGAATAGCCTACTAGCCCGACCATGACGGCAGTCTGCATAGTGCCTCAGGAAAGGGATATTCACGAACAACCTCGATTTCGCGGTCCTTGCGGAGAGGGGCCAATCAGGGCACCCGAGGCGGCATGTCATAATCTACATATGGTCCGATGGACGGAAAAGGCACGAAAAAGGAGAAAAAGAAGGTCGGGGGTGGGGGGCAGGCGCAGCTGAATCCGAGTTGCGACCTACGGGACTTGAAGGGCGGTTCAGATTTTGGACGATATTTTGCCTGTGCTGAGACGGCAGTGAGCGAGGGGTGAAGGGCATGTTTTTCATGCTTTCTGAAAGGGAGAAGCCGGAACCTGTGTTCGTAAAGGAGGGTTGGACCATGTGCCAGGGCCAGAGGGCCGATGCGAGCGCGGAGATGTGAGGGTATGGCGATGACGGAGACGACAGGCCAAGAAGAAAAATCTTGCTGGACTTTGAGTCTTGTTACACTCGGTCGAGGAAGCTCGGATTTCGAGCAAGACACGCGGGTGAAGAGAGTGACGGCGGATGCAGACCCAAGGCGACTTCTTAGTCATGGGCGAGCAAAAAAAGTACCTCAAGTATTGTGGCGTTGACTTTGAGGGAATATTACGAAGTATGCATCGAGACGAGGGGGAGCTCTCCAGGGTGGGTGACTCGGAGCATCGGTGTCGGCCACTGTGACGGAGGAGGACTCAAATGTTAGAACAGGTTGAGGAGGAGGAGGAGGGCCCACGTCCCTCGGAGGGCCGATGCGGCTTCGATATCGAAACAGATGTGGTAGTGAATGGGACGACTTGTTCAAGTCGAGGTGATCCATTCAGAACTTCACAAGAGGTGGGGGACAAGGGTGGCGCGGCGGCTAAGAAGGAGTAATGGCGACTCTGTTACGTACAGATCCCGAAGCAGAAGTACTTTGGCTACCCTAGGTCATCGTCGTTGTCGTCGTCGGGCAACGAGATGTCACCAGGGCGAGGCAAGATGAAGTTACTTGTAGTTTCGGCAAGGCGAAAGACTCAGCCACAGTCACGACGCATACCAAGAGTCCCGCGTATGTTTGTAG